CTGCCTGCGGCAATTAAATTTCCCTTAATTTTCACAGGCTACTGATCTCCTCGTAATTCTAATAATTAAGCTCTCCGTTCCTGTGATTTCCAGTCGAGCGGACGTAAACTAAAATTTTGAATATATAACTGCAAACATTATTCGCCTGTTCAAAGTATAGCATGCTTTATTTGGCATTTCATATTTATGCATATCTCATATTATATTATATATCTTATATTATATCTCATTTAATTTTAATAATCACGAATATTATCTGCATAAGCCAAGTACATCTATATATATATATATATATATGTAGTTACATGTCATAAGGCTTATATACCGTTATCAATTCGCATTTGGCCAAAATTAATTTCATTACTTTATTCCGCGCGTTTCGAAAGAAACCACACTGTTTTGCAGTGATTTGACTATAGACCAAACGTGAACGTTGAAAAGAATCGCATTGCAATATTGTTCAACACTTACAAATACTTGAATATCAATATTATATAAACAAGTATCCGTACTTTATACAATAAACAAATTAAATAATTATACAAATGAGAACAAAAAACCATCGGCATTAATAATTAAATTTACATAAAGTTTGATAGGAAGTTATAGCTAAGTCAAAATGATATTTTGGATGTCGTGTTTGTTATACATTATCTCGCCGATAGAGACGGCGAAGATCTTGGCAATTGTTCCAATACCATCTTATAGTCACCAAGTTGCTTATCGAGCATTATGGACCAGTCTGAGTCGACGAGGGCACGAAGTAGTGCTTATAACAACAGATCCGATCAATGATCCTAGTTTGACAAATTTGACAGAAATTGACGTCCATTTTACGTACAAGATATTAAAAAAATGGACTTTGTTAAAACAATGGACCTCTCCTTTATGAATGTGCTATATACACAAGCATGGCCTGCATGTCTCGAAATATCAGAAATGGTTTATAAGCATCCGGAAGTACGTAAGATGTATATATCGGGGAGCAATAGAGAATTCGACGTAGTAATTGCAGAAACTATAAAGACACCTAGCTTTTACGCTTTGGCGTACAGATTTAATGCACCTCTTATAGGTAAGACAAATGGTATATACGAAAACGTTAACCTGATTAATATTTCTTTTATTTTAATGAAATTTCGAGGAAGGCTAGATGCTTTTCCAATTTAATAATTTTAATAATTTTTTTATCATCTTATACATAATATTTATTTACATTATATTATATAAAGACTTCATAATATTCCTCTGAAATAAATTTTACATGAAAAAATTTTATTACATTTACAAATTAAAATAAATTTTACATGAAAAAATTTTATTATATTCATTATATTCATATTCATTTAGGTGTGACATCATTAGGATTATATAATAATAATTACTATTTATTTGGTGCACCTGTTCTGCCATCACATCCTTCTACTTGGGAAATGGAACATGATACTGGTTTTTCTCTTTCATTATGGCAAAGGATAAGAAATTTTATTCGTCAGTGGTATCACATATATTGCGTACTTTATCATTATTATCCTAAGCATCAGGCAATAGCTGAAAAATATCTTGGAAATGATATCCCGGACATAAGTGATATGGAAAGAAATATAAGTATTGTTTTGGAAAATCAGCAAGAAGTTCTCTCGTTTTCCAGGCCAAAAACACCTAATGTTATATCATTTGGAAATCTTCATATTTCAAAAAAACTCATGGCCTTACCAAAAGTAATTATTGTATTCAAAAAATGTATTGATGACATTTCATTATTTCAATTATTTTATACTATTTTCATTGTATCTAAAATTAATTTTTCTATATGTTAAAAAACATTAAGATTTTCTCTTTTAAAATGTAACGAAATAGCTATTTTGTTTCAGAATTTGACGGAATTTATAACAAATGCGCCAAATGGATTCATTTATATGAGTTTAGGTACAAATGCCATGATGACATCATTTCCAAAAAACGTACAACATATATTTCGTAATGTATTTGCAAATATGCCATACAAAATTTTGTGGAAATATGAAGGCGAATTGACAAATAAACCTGATAATGTTTATATCGCTAAATGGTTTCCACAGCAGAGCGTTCTTGGTAAATTTATATAAGTATCATAATTTACATACAGTAATAAAATATTTTCACGTATTTCTTCATTATACCATCATATCATACTCTACTATATATCTCTGTTTGCAGCCCATCCAAACATTAAATTATTTATATATCAAGGTGGGCTTCAAAGCACAGAAGAAGCTATTTATTATGCAGTACCACTCTTAGGATTACCAATATATTCTGATCATCACGCGCAACTTAAGCGATTAGAATTTCTTGGCATTGGAAAACGTTTAAATATTATGAATATATCGGAAGAATATTTGAACGAGGCTATAACACACATATTGACAAATAAAAGGTGATCATTATTTACATTTAGTTTTCATTTCTTATCAATCCAACTGTCGCATAATGCTATCTCACATACAAAATTCTTATTTAATTATAATTCAAATGCAGTTGCAAAGTAGAACTTGTTTCTTTTAGACAAGGTATTATGTTTTTTGACATAATTCTCTTATTATTTTTTCCTTTTAGATTTAAAGAAAGAATGCTCAAAGTTAAAGCGTTAAATGAGGATAAACCTTATGATCTTTTGGAACATACGATTTGGTGGATTGAGTTCGTCATTCGTCATAAAGGAGCTTTTCATCTTCATACCAGTATTGCCAATGATCCTTGGTATAAGAAATACGATACGGATATTATAGCAATATTATCAATTGTTATATTTATGTCATTCTTTTGTGGTATAATAATTATTTTTAAATTGTTAAAAATAATATTTGGTCTCAGAAAGATGTCAGTAGTTATGAAAAAAAAAATTAATTAATGCTTGAAATGCGTAATCTAATTATATACCATTAACAATAAAAATGTTAAAGTTTTTATCAAGAAACATTAATATAAAACAATTTTTATTACAACTTATTTAATTATTCATATGAATAATTACGTTGTAGAAAATAAAATATGACTAATTAATTAATAAATAATCAAATAAAATAAAATTTTTAAAATTTGTAACATTTTTCAAAAGTTCTGTAACATTTTAAGAAATTCAATCACAAAATATTATAACTCGACAGTGGGATTTTTCTACGAAGGTTTTCGCTATTTTACATACATTCTATACTTAATGTTTGAATGTATCTATCATCATCATCAATAAATCGTTCGTTCATCATAATTTATAGATAACAAGGAATCATAATATCTAATTAAAGGCGCAAGTTTGTTTACTTATTGTACAGAAAATGCGCGGAATCATTAGTAATATAGGTAAAGAAAAAAATAAGATAAAAAATATTGGCAGTATTTTTCATTTAACATTATCTTTCATAATCAATATTAAAATAAATTGTAGATTTCTTTAAAGAGTTGAAGTAATAATTCGAATACATTGATCATACATTGATCAACCTTTTCCAGGAGCTTATATAGGAAAGTATAACATTTAAAATTTTTTAAATAATAAAGAATGTCATAAAATCAAATCTTTTCTTCCAATTTCTTAAATAGTATCCATGCCTATATTAAATAATAAAACATTTTCTACAAGTACTTAAACATTCTAGAAATCTTTAAAGAACATCCAAAATACTAAGAAATATATTAAGAAATTTTTTATAATTTAAAAAAAATAAGATTAATTTACAAAAATATAGAACACGCAGCAAACCATGTATATAACGTTACATTTAATTGTACATTTAAATTGTAGAAAGATTTGCAAGAATCTTTTCATTATTCCATCA